CTTAAAAGAGCTTCTCAACTTCTTACATGACAGCCATATTTAAGAGTTTCCTCGTAAACAAGGCAACTGCCAACCACTACATTTCACTTTTTCACTGCGCGCTACAATTCCATCAATAAATAGGTTAATACAGTTTCTTCCAAACAATAAATTCATAATTCCAGGCCTCATTTTCATGTTTATATCACCGTGGGCTTTCCACTTTCTAGAGCTTTTACATACAAAGTTAAATTCTTTAATAAAAAAACAATTGAAATCTTAGCTTTAATGATGCTGAGATATTTGCAAAACTCCGGACCGCAGGCGTCTGCGGTGGGAAACGAACGCGCTGTTGTCCTTCCCGGTGAGTAACGCGCTAACCACCACACCATCCGGGTCCTTCGTTCCACCTGTCTCTCAGCTAGTTCTATTGATCTTTTACCATCAGCAATCACTCGCCAGCGGGATTGATTTGGAGAGCCCAAATCGCAACGAACCCAGTAAAGCTGAGGGGTGATTGCTAATGGCAGAGATCAATAGAACTAGCTGAGAGACAGGTGAAACGAAGGACCCGCATGGTGTGGTGATGAACGCGTTATTCCCCGGAAAGGACAATAGCTCGTTCGTTCCCCACTGCAGACACATGCGGTGCGGAGCTTTGCAAATATCACAGCACCATTAAAGTTATATTTCGCAACATATACCCTGCCGTTAAAAATAGTAGGCAGTAAATAATAAGTTAAAATTGAAATCTTAGCGTCCGTCGTCAATTCTATTTCTCGAACTGTTTGCTGAGGACAACCTTCGATGTTTCACATATTCCATCTCATCGCGGGCGAGGCATGTTCCTTTCTGTCTGCGCTCTTCTACTGAAATTCATCACCCAATAGGATTTCGCAATCTGAAGCGCTGAGATTTCCTTTCTTTTGACGCATAGTTAGTAGTAAATTTGTATACCAGGCTAACCCGATAAAATGTTGTGATGCTCCTCATTCCCTTTGGCGCTTACTGAACATCTTTGCTGTGCGGAAGACGGAGATGAACATAGGTTTTACTCGTGTCCGCCTGAGCTATGCGATGACCTGTAGGGCTATAGATTAATTTCCAACGATATTTTTGCAATCACATTTGGGTTACCACGAACGAAAACTGGAAGTTCGATTCGTTACGTCGAATTACTTATCCTCAACTTAAAACTCCTGGAGATTTCCTTTCCTTCACTACATTGTACCTGATGATTTATTCACACTAACAGTTGCTTCTGCTGTCCTACGTGTGATGTGCTACAGAATTAGGCAAGAAGTTGCCGAAATTGAACATGAATAAGAATTGCTCGAAGTACAACTTTCTTAATGGATTGAAAACCAGACCTAACAAGCAGTAAATAAGAAATGGCAAAGAAATAGCTTCAGTTGTTAAATTTGTAGTTATAGATTGAAGTTTCACTGCGTTTTGCTCAGTATCCATAACCATTCGTAATGGGTTGCGAAATCCGCGATTACTTTGTGAGACACATGTTGGTCTTCAGAAAGCATGTCGGACGAGCAGCAGTGTTCAAATCCATTCGAAGAGAGACCTCAGCAGTTCACTTATTTCGAAATATCACGGGGACAACATTGTTTAAAATAACCCTACCAAATTATGTGCAGAAGCATTGTTTTGTCGAAGTTTTCTCATGTAGATACAAAATTTTGTCTGTAACATCAACTAGCATTCCTTTGAAGATGTTACACATCCCTAGATGGCAAAGTATATTTCGTCGTGATTCGTGAAATGAGAAGCTTATGTTACAAGCTGAGTTTCAAATTATGCTGTTTTTTTTACATGAGCCAACATCATATATTGTACGAACCCCAGAACTTCTTGCCTACGAAGATGTTCTAATTTTCGTCTAGGTTTCACTGTTGCTTGAGAATTTTTGGTCTTATTTATGAACCTCGTTGAATGCTAAGCAAGTCCTCCAGGAATCCTGGCAGCAGTGCTAATGTGTTGGCAGATCTTCGTCATGGGCCTCGCCAGCTTTTATGGTTTACAAGGAGCGAGCTGATCGCAGACAATTCTTGTATCATTCTTCTGATCTTGAAATAATTGGACAATTAGTTGGTCCATGCGGGCTCGAGCCTGGGCATTCCGCGTACTGGACACTGTCCAATAACGGTAGTAAGTTTTGTGGAAATCTGTTCCTAAACGGACGCCTCGATGTTACTTCTTTTACTAGTTCTTGGGAAGTTGACAAATTTCGTGCACCTTTTCAGAAAGCATTTCACTGCTGGTTTTTAAATGTTGCGAATAATAACGAATTTTGAGTATGCTACTCTACGTTTCGAAAACTTGCCCACTGCTCACCCTCTCGCCACGTCGTTATTCATGTGCGATCCTATCTTTTCATAACCGTACGGGAACACTCGAATACCTAATAATCTCAGGATCAATTGTAATTAACTCGGAGGTTCACTCCATTATTGTAAGAAATTCCATCTTTTGACTAGGTTCCATTGATTACAGTAGTAACTCCTGATATAGGTTAGCTCACAGTCTAGCTTTCGAATGCGAATTTCGAACCCTCCTTTAACGGCCATGATCCTTGTTGGGGAAGGAGCCCTCTGTTTGTATTTTGCACTGACAATAGGAAACATCTGCATCTATGATGAGATGACGCATTATCTAAGTAGGAATACAAAAAACAGTAAAATCAAAAATATCTCAGGCTACCGCAATCTTGTCAAAGGATGACATGTAGATTTTTTTTTAAACTTAGCACGTGAGTTTGCCAGGGGTTTTGCCTCTTTACATAGGCGAATGACAAAACTGCGTTGAAATATGATGCAGAGGGATGTTTCATCATCCAACAGGGCAACACGTGCGTTGAAGGTACGACACTTCTTGACGGAACCGATGGAACAGTTAAGAGTAACCCACGAGTGCTTTGATTTTCTCCAACCTACCGTTGACACCTAGTCGTACTGAAAAAAGTCCTGCTGAGTCATAAAGGTGCCGACTGTATGTAACGAAAACCCGTGAATGATCTAACCCAGTTATCGCAAGACTCCAAAGGGCGTAAAGACTCAGCCAACAAAGATGCAATACTCTCCAGAATAGTGTACTTAGTATTTCTACATCTTCCTCAACTGTTTACAGGACTCTATCACTGAATAGAAGTGAGACTCAATTTCCCAATGAATTTAGCTTTTGCTGATTCTCACTCCGAAAAAGTGGAGTCCAGACAAAGACATATCGCCTCTCTCTGTCCATCGCTTTCTCTCTCTCTCTTTCTCTCTCTCTCGTTCTCTATCTCTCCCAACTGATAGACAATAACAGGAACAAGAAAAAGGGAAGAGATAAGATATAAAAACCTGTACAAGGTATGTACTGGCCGCTGGTGGATTTGTTGCAGAGTAGTTGATACTACTCCTTAAAGAAAAATGAAGCTAAAATAGAAGCATCAGCTCAAGAACTTAACGAATAGGTGCTTTAAAAAAATTGTGTTTAGAACCTCTTTCCTAGTTAGATAGTTGGAGATGTAGATATCTGAAAGCCCACTTCATGAAGAATTTTGTGAGCCGCAGTGAAATTTCCAGTTAACTGGAGATGTTGAATTCTCTTATGTTTAGTCTGTACTGAGTCCCGAAATACTATTGTATGGGCAATTCCAGGTAGTCTTCACGTCAAGTGGCAGCTCTTGTATACCGGACAGAGGTTTGCCTTCATAAAGTGTTGGGTGTGAGCTACCCTTCCAGCGCTAAATATCGTGGTTCCAGAAATAGGAATATCCCCTCACCACGGTAGCATTACGAACTATCGAAGAGGTACGTTTTTCTTATAGTAGTAAAAAAGATAGAACAGTCTACTTTATGGTATGCCCAAGTAGGTTTATCACTCGACGTTAAGGCATCAATTATCCCCTAAAAATCTCAGTCACCATATGACCGCGCTGCATTGGGTGTTGAGGCCAAAAGCTCTGCAAGGTCAGATGTATAACGCATATTGGCACTTCACTAATCCACCTATGGTTCTTTTCCCATCTTCACCGGTTCACAGCGAATGATTATCTTTCATTGCGTTCTGTTAATAGATGAATAAGAAGTATATATTTGCGGTATTGTGGAAAACAAACTTCGTACTTGTTAATTATTCAAAGAAATGTTTACTATTGTCTGTGTCCTTGGCCACTAATTCTTCTTTAAAAAAATTCTAAAATATGGCTCGATGTTCGACGTGGTATAACTTCGATATATGCAATCTCACATGGTGATTTTCAAGGCCAAACACTTTTTGTCTTTTTTGTAGATGGACGGGCGCTCAGTGAATTTGGGACGTTCTCAGTTTAAGTACATAAATGTCCGCAGTTCGTAGCTCATTCCAAAAACACTTCTGAAATTTGAAACCTACGTTCGTCCTTTTAGGTTGTTTTTTTATTTTCTCGTATACTAATACTTTACAATATCCTTCGGAAGCACACTGAAACAGATTTGTATTCTGGAAAGCAGTTTTTCTATTATTATTTCGTGTTACAGCGGCAGGCCATCTATAATTCTACTCTTACGGCTTTGTGAGGGATTATAACACAGCTTTCTAGACGATAACGATGACCTTAGTGGTTAACGACATCGTAATATCGTCGTCCACAAGATTCGATATCATTCGACTTCGAAACCTCTAACTCTCTAAAATGTGTGCTTTGTGTTTTTCGTTATGTCCTTATAGACATAAGAGTATTTAAAAACGGTGCACGACAAAAAGTCGAGAAAGTTTGACCTAAGCATTAAGCTAAACTGTATTCTAACTCTTAAACAACACACCAAACTTTGTTATCACTCTCTCTCAATGCAAATCCTCGTTAAATACGTAAGGACCGAATGAAAAACATCTCTATTGAGTAGCACAGCGACACTTATTCATTTCTTGAGAGTGTTTGAATTTTTAAGAGTTACTTAAGTCATTAAGCTGACGACCAATGAAACATAGAGTTCCAGCAAGATACTGTAGTGTAGTGATTCCAGTGACCTTGGCCTGGCCAGGACATGCTCGTCCGCTCGATGAGCGACCTAGGGCCGGTGATCTACGCACAGTACGCGGGATATCGTGGCGGGAGTCGGGGAGCCGTCGCGAGCCATCGGCGGCGGCTATCCGCCGGCTGGGCGGGGTCGACGCGGCGTCGTATCCCGCTGTATTTCTTCACTCGCTCCTCATTCGCAGTTATGGGCTGCTCAATGCTGGCACTTCTCCTGCTCATCAGTCAATGTTCAGGTGGGTGTCTGTTCTCGTTTACTAGTATTCTTAACTTGTTGTCTCTGTTTGTCCTTCATAGTCCTTCACGGCTGAGCGATTGAATAGATTTCGAAAGTTCATTGCAACACACGCCTATGCCTTTGTTTTCTTTTGCCTAGAACACAGGTCACGGAGTTTTCGTTTGTTACGTTGAAATTTCATGCGCAGTCATTGTTTTCGGATCCTCGCGCTGCCAATACTTCAGCAGCAATTCGTCACGTCGAGTATCCCTTGTGCTGTATCGCGGTTCTGCACTCATTATAGTTGAGGCAGAGCTTAGATCGTAACTGTATTGCTTGTCAGCGGCACTGTTTAACCATCGGCCACTGTTGACAAATCTAAACACTTGATGAGTACAGTCTGCCTCTTTGTTCGTCATCACCAGCCCTCAAATAGCTCCTCATTAGGCGTTTAGCACAGGAAGGATACACATATGATGAAGCTGTTGGATCACTTTCATATGAGTTTTCTTTTTTCGCCAATTCTTCAGCTGAATCATCCGTGTTATCGTGAAAACAATCTCTCGAAAGGTGATAGCCTTTCGACTATGTTTTCAAGATGTCCACTGACCACTATGCTGCTGTACATCTATTCTCTTGTTTTTCCTTTTTCTTTCTTTATCTCATTGCTTTCCTTTTCAGCATGGGAACTCGTTGTTACACCAAATGGCGATCGGCTTCTAGACCAACGAACTGGGGGTAACTTTATCGTGTCATGTAAAGTTAAAGACTATGATGGTGCTGCAAGTGATGTGAAAGTCGAGTGGTACAAAAATGGAGAGCTAGCGTCACATATCGGAAATATTATGGCCATCTACAAAACGTACGGCAATCAGTTACTCATCAATAGTCCGAAAATCAGCGATGGTGGAGCGTATACCTGCAAAGCTGATGTGAGCGGCCAACTACATGAGACCACAGTTCTCATTACTTTCGCCGGTAAGGTTTTCAGTGTGTACTGAATAACGTCGCTGCTTGTTTATTTTCGTGATTCATAATTGAGGAACAAGGGAGCAGATGTAGTCTCTGTAAACATTTAAACCCTTCAACAAAAAGGCTGATTAGTTGTTACTTTACATAAATCCGAAGTAACTAATGAAGTGTTGTTCGCGACAGAGGCTCACATTCAACTGCATAGTTATGGTAACCTATTGGACTCTAAGAACTATGTCCACTTTTAACTGTTTTTTAATAAAATATTTTTAGATCCGCCAAAGTTCATAGATCCTGAGACTGAACAGCATCCTGAAGAGGGTTCTAATGCTGAAATCGTCTGTAACGTTGAGGGAACAGAGAAGTTAGAGGTGTTCTGGCAGTTCAATGGCTCGATACTTGAGGAAGGTGCTTGTCATTGTGATATTCTTTGAAGTCAGCGTTTACTGTTTATGCAGGCGATCTGGTTAGGTCATGAGTGACCCATTTCTTGCGTCTACCCTTAATGCGTGCAGTACTTATCGATCTTTGCTCATTGTTGCGCAATGTCATTGCGAATAGAAGCATATTGAGCCGTCCCTACTTCCCTGCTCTATATTTATTAGGAACACCATGCATTGCATATATATTTTTATATATGCATATATATTTATATATGTGCACACACACGTGCATATATATGCATATATGTGCGTGCGAGTGTGTATACATAAAGTGTATGTAGATGTCGAGGCACGTGTGGCGCAGTGGTCGGAGGCGCGCTGCAATACACACATCAGGTGTTCCCGCGCCCGTGGCCCACCAAGCCTTCCGGCTCACCAGGGTCAGCTAATTGGTACCAGATTTGTCTGAGAGGATAGAAGCATTGGCTCGATACATCGGTAGGCCTGCGCGAGTCATTGTAAAGGACAGATATGCATTCAATCACCTTCAATGATAGTTAACGAAGTCAAATGCATGGCGCATCCCTCAGAGATTGATGAACGCCGAGAACTTTGTTTTTTTATGTATTTGTCTTTATACGTGCACATACATACAGTGCGTAAGCATGAGTATATGTAAACACGCATATATATATACATACATACATACATATATACCTACTTTATGTGTTTTTCTAGTAATCGGTGACTAATTCGTCAAATGGGTTTTAAACGCAAAAGTTTCTGCTTCTATCTACATCTGTGGGTAATGATCCGCGAAAAAGGGAAACTTACCATTGGCCCTCCTTGGCCGGTGAACAATGGCTAGTGAGGCGAGATGCCTTTGGTCTGGGCTGCCTTTGTTAGGTGTTCAGACGGCCATCATCGAGCTTTGGTAGGCATTTGCATATGCATACCACCATAAAAAGGGTCACGCTATCAACGGTCCTAATCCTTTTGTTGTGAGATTACAGGGTGGTCATAACATCTGCGCTCTTACATCTTGTTACGCAGCACCGAGCTTTTGTGTGAATTCAGCAGATGGTTCCTCTACAAAATTTGTCTTCAAAGAGGTGTTATATTTGAAAATTGAGACTGCTGTGACCGACTAGATTCGTCCTGTAATCTGTGTTGTAAAACAATGAATGGTCGGGTCGATGCTGCTGCGTCGTGGGAGTCTTTCTGTTAAGTGTATTTATTTCTTAACATTAAACAAGAAACCAAATTGACTAAAGATAACCGACGATGATGAATTGTACCAAAGAGTGCTAGCCGTAAGGAAAAAAGTGAATCTCTTGAAGGATCGCCACGTGGATACGAGTTTCGAAACGACAGACAAGTTCTGATTATTCCCGCCTTTGATTCGAAAAAGGACGACGGTATTTACAACTGCAATGCTGCACAATTCTCTTCATTTGAAACACTTGCTATCAATGTTACGGGTTATTGTAAGTCATATATTAGTATCTTGTTCTGTGACATTCTTTATTCTTAAATCTTAAATTCTGAAGTGCTTTTCTTTATTTATTTAGCTCGTCCATTAATAACAGTTTTTGATACTCCTTCGAACGGAGTCGGAATTGAGGGAGACAGTGCAAAGTTACAATGTGGAGCTGTTGGGAAACCCAAACCATTGTACGAATGGTTTGACAAGGTATGGAAAAGTTATGTTTCTGTGGTTGATGCAGTCCACAGTTTATAGCTCATCAAATTCGTCTTGTTGAATTATTTTCATTCTATCGCACTAGAGTCTCGTGAGAATCACTGGGTGCTTAGTTCCAAAATGGCTCGTATTAGTGGCTGTGAAAGATTGGGAATCTTTTCAGTGAATCTGTTCAGCAGGAATATAAAATGAGCATAAACGTGTTCGAATGGAGCTGATATGAATCATTTGTTACAATTTGCTACTGACTGGGAGGAAGCAGCTACTTTCATTTTTTTCTTTAACAATAAAGCTTCTGTCTAATTCCGTAGTACCTCATGCTCATAACCGGTGACATTTGGGGTATTAGGATGAATAGTTAGGTGGCGATCCATCTGTCAGCATAAATATCGAGGTGGTAGTCAACCACCTGTCAATGTCACACGTGAATGATTTGGCATATCGTGGGAAACAAAGCGATTCGTGCGCATCGCGTGACGGCAATACTGTGATTGGGCCCCAAAGGTCATTTGCATGTGTAACCAAGAGGTAACTTCTGCAAACCTTACTAAGAATACAACGAGGAAATAAATTACGCTTTATTATACGCTCATTGTTTATGCTGACTATTATTCGAATCTCTAGCGAAAAATAAGACCTTAATAAACTACTGAGTATGACTTTCCATACCTGCGTGCAGTGAAGAGATATGTTTTGCGCCTACAAGGCGAACGTTTATGCTGGGCATGAGGATCATTCCAGCGGTGTAGTTTTGAAAGCTTTCCATATTGTCATTTTTAAAAAAAGTGAGCAACAAGTAAATATTAGAAATCATCTTGCACAGTTTGAAAGAGGTCGCAAAATGGCCAGCTTTTTTCTAATAAACACTGTATGTTGTGGCGAAGTGGAAATCGTTTTTGGGCAGCAGAGTACCTGTCAAATGAAAATTTACTTGCTACTGGGATCTGCTTTTTTCGTGAAAATGGGTCACCTAGGTGACTGTGTTTTTAGTAAAGCATGAATTTATTGGAAAACTCTGTACATATGGAGAGAAAGTTGAGCCACTTGCTTCAGGACCGCGTTGGACTAAAGGAAGTTGATTGAATACGCGGTCACTCTCCATATAACACCGCATTGCTTGCTTTTCTATCTGATCTTGGATCAAATTGTTCTCACATTTTAACTGTAGTGCTTTATAGCTGTGCAATAATGTAGTTCCTGTATTTAACCCATTTACTACTATGCTGGTTCCTCGATAGCTGAACAACTTCAATATTTGTGGGCAGGAGAAACATATATAAATTTGAGTTATCGTTCTAATTGCATCCTCACGTGGTTTCCTTGAAGTACTCCTCACTGAAGCGTATGAGTCGAAAAAATCTAAAGTTCTTGCGGCAAGTGTGGATTCTGCCTAAACAGCCAACTCATTCGAACATAAAATCGAGTCCTGTTGAACGAAATCGCGCTTAACTTTAAATTTTGAAATGATCGGGAAGAAAGATTTTTTCCTAATGAAATCTTGTGCCTTATTGACTGAAGTATTATGCCTTAAATGCATTATTTCTTGTTGGCGGGCTCGTTTAGCGCAGTTGCTAGGGGCACTCTGCGATACACACACGCTCTCTGACTGGTTTGTGCACTACATGCTCGCCAAAAGTCCCATCTGTTCGGATTCGGAGAATTGGTGCCAGACTTATCATGGAGGATGACATCACTGACTTAGTCGAAAGGCAACCGGAAATCATTTTATGAGTCAGATATGCATTCAGTCACCCTCTAAGGATTCCTGTTGATGTCGAATGCATAACGTAACCCTTAAGGGTTGATCAATGCCATATGCCTTTAATCTTTATCGTTATTTCTTGTTGGCAATGTTTTTCAGTTTTATTGCTTTCTGCCTCTTCCATTTTGATTGATTGAGTTTCTTTTACATTGAAATACTTTTGTTTAGGGCATTCGTGACCGTTAATGCCCATCTTCAACGTTAGACACGTTTTAGCTCATACCGAATTTCATTAGTTTACATAGAAATCGTGGAGCACAAAGATATTAGTCAAACAGATTCCAGTTCTATTATTCTGTCGAGACGGAATTCGGGTTTTCTGGAGCCCAAAAGGATACATTTTTTTCCATCTTCTTTAGAGGAGGTTCGTATTGAAAACAATTATGTAACAAAACAAGGGGCATTTCCTTTTCTTCCAAGGAGATACAATGGTGTTCCTCAGTATATAGTGTATAATTGCAGTTACCGTTAGCGTTTAAATTTCTAGAAACCTTTTTGTTCTTTCCTTTTACCTAAAATCTTAAATGCAAGCAAAAATTGAAAGGACGCTTCCTAGAAAGTGTGTACATGAAAAGAAATGGAAGAGGGCTTCCTTAAGTAAGTGAACACTGTATGAGTTTGAGTTACAGTCAGTGTCGTATAGAACATGGCAATTTTTTGTTTCTTAAAGAAGAAATGGCTAATAGCACACTTATTTTATTATTTGTTTTTTGTTTATTTTTTCTTTTTTTATACGGCTTGTCTTTCACACGTACTGTGCAGGTCCCAGCACTTCATACGTTCTATTCGTTTTCTTGCATGCATCATCTGTGAAGTTCTTCCAACTTTTGCATGTGGGTTCGGCTGCTGCTTGACCATTTTCCTTTCATCATGAATATTATTAACTGTTTTCCAAGTCGATTCCCCTTGAAGTCCTGAGATAGGCCTGTTTGAGCGTTCCCACTTTTTTGGATTGCAGAGAGTGAACCTTTCCCACAAAAGTCTGGTGCCAATTTCTTGACCCTGGAGGCGTGAATTGCCTGGGGAGCCCGGGGTCGAACAGGAATGGTGCTCGTGATAGTTGATGTGACTATCACTGCGGTATCCATTGTCTTCTTTTGTTTTTCCTAGTCAGAATTTTCTTTAAGTAAACGCAATATAAAGAACGTGTGACATAAACATGTCCATTTTATTCTAGAATGACGAGGCTATTGTGAATTCCGATAAATACAAAGTGGAAGATGGTCTGCTGATTATTGAGTCCTTGTCTGAAAACGATGCCGGAGAATACAAATGTGTTGCTTCGAACCCAGTTGGCAATGCATCCCGTGTTACTGAGTTAAAAATTAAACGTGAGTTGCTTCTATTGGTCTGGATGACAACTCATCACATTCTTATCATTTTTTAGTGAGACCTCGGATAGAGAAATTGCTGGATTTGACAAGGAAAGAGGGTGAAAGTGCTGAAGTTGTTTGTAGATATAGTGGGGATGGTGTTACTGCAGCTAAATTTGTCTTTGGTTCCGAGGAATATTCGGTATGCGTCAATTCCAGTCTCTTATCATTTGTTCGAACCGCGCAACATGTAATCACCATTTTTAGGTGGTTAGTGGTAATGAGGTAGATCTTGTAAACGAAGTTGATAGCAGTGAACGCCATGAAATAAGCTTTGGTGATGAAGACGACGAGGAAAAGGAAGAAATCGCCAGAATTAAACGGGTACCATCCACATATAATGTTGTTGTTCATTTTGATTTTTTCTTTTCTTTTCGTATTGGTGATTCTAAGCATTTTATGCACACACGCATCGAAATATTTAGTAAAGGGAATTTGTGCTTGTGTGCATGAGCGAATCCAAAGCTAGTCTTGCCTTAGTTTGAGGGGTTCATTTCCATCTCTCTTATTCCACATCCTTTGATTTTATAAATAGGAGATTTTAGTTCGAAGAAGATATAACGTCAGAGCGGATTAGGGTCAGAGCTGAGGAAAATGCTGTAATTCTGCACATTCGCAATCTTAGTCTAGCGGATGCTGGTCTGTACAAATGTGCTGTATCAAATCGTGCAGGATGGACAGAGCGTGCATTTCACATCGCTATCATTCGTGGGAATTTCTTCCAGTATCGATTGTTTTCATTTCAGTGATACACATCTTTATTTAGTACATCTTCAGATCCACCCGTATTTCGACGTGCTTCTGATGACATTACTCGATCTTTTGATGGGAATACTGTTAATATCTTTTGCGAGGTATCTGCTGTCCCCGATCCACTCTGGACATGGCAGAGAGATGGAAACGAGGTGATATTTCTGCTTCGATTTTGAGCAGTACCTTCCACTAACTGCTGTAATTGCAGTTCGAAGCCGATGGCTCATCAATCATTATAGATAACAACGGTGGTGTGACAAAATTAATTCTACAGAATAAAAATGGGCAAAACTACGGAAAATACACCTGTAAAGCTGATAACGGTTTTGGCACCTTTACAAAATCTACTGATGTAATTCGGATTAGTGAGTGTTTATTTAGCAGAGGGTTCAAACAGTTTTGTCTGAAGGAAATCTACTAGTCGCGTGGAAATCTTGCAGTAACACCTGTTGTTCCTGAAGGCATCGATTGCAAGAAACGCTTGTACCCTAACTATGGAAAGTGTTCTGTTGACAACGATTTATATTATGATGAAGCAAGTCGGCCGACTCGAATAGAGTTCCAGGTATTGTTATATTTCTTTTATGCGTTATCTCCCCTGACTGTTAATGAACTTAATGGACATGTTTTAGGTTCTTGAAAATATGGATTATGTTAAGGATGACCTTGATTGGGATCATGCTCCCGTTATTTCTGTTCTATTTGGTGAGGTAATTAAGTTTCCTATATGTATCCTATCCTCAGCAGTTATAATTTTAGATGGGACTGAGATGGTTGTGCGAAACTTGACACCAAATACTCAGTATTCTGTTCGAGTTCGAGCAGTCAACGAGGCAGGTGCTAGCGACTTTAGCCAGCCTGCTCAGATGGAAACAACCGATCCATGGGGTTAATATTGTTTTTCATTTAATTAGGAAAAGTGTTCGTTGCCAATGAAGGTGGCAAGCTTTAGCACCTAAAAAACCTGTTGATCTCCGGATGGACTGTGCTGAGATGTGTACTGTGTATTGGGAGGAATCCAACAACCACGGATCGGCCATCATCGCCTATCGAATTACAGTTCAAGAGTTCACTGAAAATGAGCATGGAGAGGTAAATTCATTAGCACTAGTCCGCATACGTAATAATAAGCATTAGTCGTTTTGTTTATTTTTAGAAGCAAAATGTCGGTAATGCGTTTGTGGTCGAAGTTGATGGTGAGAAAAGATCTCACAAGCTAACTCATATTCGGCCTCATACTTCTTATCGGATTTCTGTTGCTGCAATTAATGCAGTTGGTGCAGGAGAGGTAGAAGAGGTTGAAGTTGATACTGATGGTAGGGTTATCCTCAACTTCTCTTCTCCTCTTTAACGGAAGAGAACATAAGTTCATTTGTAGATTCTCCAATGGTTCCCACTGAGCTGTTAATGGTGCATAAGTTGGCAGTTATTGTCGGAATCGCGTTGTTCGTGATTCTGTTCGTTATCGATTTCATTTGTTACGTAACTAATACTTGTGGTCTTATTGCATGTTTCTGTATCAATTGTCTTGGACGAGCTCCCCGCGATCGAAAGGGGGATGTGGAATCGGGCAGGTAGGTTCCTTGAGAACGTACTATTGTTGTAGACTGCATATTTGTTTTCTTTCAGGGGAGAAAACAACAAGCTTTTGGAAAACCAAACTTCTAGGTAATAGGTTCTATGTGGAATATCCAGTACATACGCGTTTTGTGGTCGGTGAGGTTTTGTTAAGTATGCGAGAGGTCACTTGTTCTGTTGTTTTTGTGTACAGTTTTAGTCTGTCGTTTACGGAATACTCTCCTATAAATGGTAAGCAAGTATGATGCTTTGTAATATCTGGTAATATTCGGGTCTCCCAGCGGTTTATCACCTCATCGTGGTTGGGAGGTGTTCCTTGATGTCGGGCTACGATGCACAGCGGAGGATTCATACCTTGCGGGATATCCCAAGCTCAGAAGGAGCTCGGCGTTTCCATCAGAAAGCCTAGTTAAGAGTAAACCAATACCGGGATCCGTCACCGTCCTGGTATCATACTAGTCGCATGATGGCAGATCTCCCTATGATCCATAAGAGCGACGGCTGCCTGTGGTGGTGAAGACCTGGGACAGACTTTGGCTAGGCAACCTCGCTAACCTCGGCGCTTCAGCGAAACACAATGGCTAAATCAGGAAAGCTCCAAAAAAGTGGAGAACATGCTAGTGCCTGCACAACCAGAGAGGACGAGCCGTCTAAGTATCCGAGTAGATAAGATAATATTCGGGAATGTTGCTAAAAGATAATAGTATAACCGTTTAGAGTTACTTGCTTGGTGTTTTGTTTTTCGTTCCATTCTGGTCGCATATAACTTGTTGAAATTGTATTGTCTTTGTCGTCACTGGTGATTCACTGGTGTGTGAACTCTAAGGTTCTACGTATGCGTCTGGTCGCTCTGAAGTTACCCAGATTTGATTTTTCAGCGCGCATTCGATGCTGCAGACAGCTCCATTAATTGCTACATTATGACTGGCAATGTGACTATTTTTCGTAGATCGTTTCCCCATTTGTTAGATCACTGTTTAGTTTTCGTTTTTTCTTTTTTTTTTCCCTACATGTCTATGTTTTTCACTTCACTCATTAATTTAGTCAATTGCGAAGCGTTACTATTTCTATTTGTATTTTTATCATTTTTATATACTGTTACTTTCGCCCTCTAGTGAGGAACTGAGGTCGGGTCTATTTTGTTGTGTCCATTCACTTATTTACACTTTAAGCAATATTTTTGAAATGTTGCATGTGTTTTTGTAAAGCCACTCCTACATCTAGTAAACGAATTTATTTGGCAAGAAGTGACGAGGCAACTTTATTTTGTGAAGATTTGTTCTGACTTACGTACAATTAGCATTACATGAAGTTTCATATATATATATATGCATATGTATATGTATATGTGTATATATATCTGTAAGCAGATAAGTGAGAAGTGAAAAACGTATCAAAACATCCGAACATGCCGTAAACTCGGTGAAGTGAGCAATTTTGATAAGTGGATAATAACAATAGAGGTACGTCTGCAGGTCATGTATCTAGCTGTTCTAACATTCGTTATTTTTTTAAGTAGATAGGTGGTGGATTTAAATGAGGTGGTAATATGAAATATCGACGAAGAGCGTAGTAGTTGGAGAATTTTTTTCCTTTGAGAAGTATGCTTTCCGTGACGAAGTGCTCAATTGTTATCCATGCAGCGACACACTAACGCTTGAAGAACCTGAACGGATACACCTCATTCACCACAATAGGTGTGTCGCTTTGCTTACCTCGACGAACACAAGATGCTTTTTGATGGAGTGGCACAAGTGATGACATCATCATGACAGGTGACTGTGCGCGCATCGAACACTTGTGGTGGATTCCGAGGTCGACCTGAAGGTTTTATTTCGGTTTTGTGAAGTCGCATTGAGAGGCCGAGTCTCTTAAGAAAGGTTTAGTTGCTTATGTTACCAATTCCATGTTGTCTTCGCCACCATCGGGATCTTCATCCGAATCACGTCGTAAAATTTGAATCTGCGAAAATGAGTGTTACTAACGAATAAATTTTTCTAGGATTTCCCTAGCATGTCTGTTTGAGCATAGAAGATCTGTCAGCTCTGTATTTACCTGTGGTACCTGATTCGCTTCAACTGGCTCCTGGCAAGGAGACACTGAATCCTCTGATATGATGGCAATGTGTCGGCTATCTGATGGAGGGTACATCTGATATTCAGCTTCATCAAATTGTCCACGCATCTATAAATAGTGTTAAACAAATTTAGGGCTTGAATGGAATCGCTGGTGGTTGGCACAGTAGAAGCTGTTGTAATTTACATTGATTTTTAACGCACTTTAATTTGAAATGTGAAGGTACTTCTGAGGATGTAACAGCTTAGCTTTCCTCTGAGGTTACTCGTGCATAAAACGACTAAAGCTTTTTCTGCTAGAACGAATATGGACGTCCATAAAAATGCAATGTGAATGTTTTTCTCTCGTAAATATACTGGAGAAATGTATACAAACTCCCAGTCCACGCAGGATTTAGAACTTTGGCTCTTCATTGCTTTTATTGTTCCTTAGATATTAAGCGGACTTTGTACTTCAGCACTGTTATGCCGTCATTTATCCACAAAATTGCACCCTGGACCATCATCTGTGGTCCAGCCTTGCTTTCCTTTTGCGATGAAAACTTGACGATAAATTTACCTTCGAGCGCAAAACACTGTGTTCCTCATCGACTGCGCACGTAAATCATTTTACAGAATCATTTACTGTAAATTATACACGCATTCACAACTCGATGAAAATGCTAGGTTAATGTTATGGTGTAAATATACTGACGAAGTTAGTTTACCCAATTAATCCTTGTTCTCCAACGTTTCATTAAAATTTTCTCTAATTAGGAGGCGTGTGTAGAGCAGCCGTTAGAAGTGCCATGCAATACGTTCAGAGTGCTTAGTTCGATCACCCGCTGTCAGCTTTTCAGCCCTTCCATCGTTCCATAGTCGGCAATTTCATATTAGAATCGTCTGGAAGGATATCAGCACTGAATTGATGCATCTGTTCGCCACCGCAAGTATAGGCCAGATATGCATTCGGTCGCGTATGACTATGCTTTTGCAGCGTTGAGCTCCTAACTTTATATGAATATCAAGTCTTTGTGAATATTAGTCTTAGTATCTGCCACGCGAGTCTCTTGTGTGTAAATCGCTGAGTCGAATGCTGGGTTACAACTTTCATTATAATAGTAGCAATATCAACAATAACAGTAGAGCGAAGTACATGGACGAGTTAGGCGATATGAACGAACTGGATGGACAGTGGACGGACACTGCGAACACTTGAAGACGAAATGGCCATGGGCTGTTTGTATTACTTCTGCAGTGGGTGGAGCTTTACCAGAGGGAACTAAAGACAGCGCCTAGAAAGAGGTTCTAAAGGTTTTTTCTACTAGCACAATCTGATAGAGCTACATGTGAAAGGACTCAGCTGCTCGTTCGGAAACTTCTTTGGGGCGGCAGATGCTTGAAAGCACATTCAGCTGACTGCTGTTGATTAAGTGCCCGAACTGCCGGACAACGAAAAGGAGTTTATTGAAAAAAGTTGTAGAATCCCTTTCCAGCCACATGTGAGAGAACTGCATGAGATAGTGGGTAAGAGACAATTTAGAGAAGATTCGAGGATAGATTTAAGGTAGTTACAGGTGAACAAGAAACATACACTAATGTAGAAAATAGGAGCTATTTGATGAATAGTTCCTATATATGCTGACTTAAGTCGAGTATGTTAAGGATTGATCAACTCCATGAACTTCATCTGCCTATTCTTTCTGTAGTCAAATCCATCCGATATTCCTGAGTACGTTTGACTTTTTATTTAGTATCTTTTGAAGTTTTCACGCCAGGTTATTATTTGTGAAACAACCAAAATGATGCTAAGATATTTGAAAAACTCCGGACCGCAGGTGTCCGCGGTGGGGAACGAACGCGTTATTACCCTTTACGGGGTCTAACGCGTTCACCCCTATACCATGCGGGTCTTTCGTTTCGCCTGTCTCTTAGCTAGTTCTATCGATCTCTGCCATCAGCAATCACCCGTCAGCGCGATTGATCTAGGGAGCCCAAATCGGCAATGAACCCAGTTAAGCTGAGCTAAAAAGTCAAACATTGTGGATTTCAACTATACCCTCAGCTTAACTGGGTTCAATGCCGATTTCGGCTCTCCAGATCAATCGCGTTGACGGGTGATTGCTGATGACAGTAACCGATAGAACAAGCTGGGAGAGGCGAAACGAAGGACCGGCATGTTGTCGCGGTGATCGTGTTAGTCCCCGGAAAGCGTAACAGCGCGTTCGTCCACCACCCCAAACACCTGCGGTCCGGAGTTTTGCGAATATTTCAGCATCATCTTAATTTGGCTTTTTATTCACTGCCTTTTACAAGCTTTCATGGCAGGGTATTACTTGTGAAACAACCACAATGATGCTGAGATAATTTTGAACTTTAATATTTACTACCTACTCTTTTTAACGACAGGGTATATTGCGAAATATAACTTCAATGATGCTGAGATATTTGCAAAACTCCGGACCGCAGGTGTCTGCGGTGGGAACGAACGCGCTATTGTCCTTTCCGGGGAGTAACGCGTTCACCACCTCACCATGCAGGTCCTTCGTTTCGCCTGTCTCTCAGCTAGTTCTATTGATCTTTTGCCATCAGCAATCACCCGTCAGCGGGATTGATCTGGGGAGCCCAAATCGGCAACGAACCCATCCGGAGTTTTGCAAATGTCTCAGCATCATTGTGATTTCTTCACAAATAGTTCCTGACTACGTTTTTTTATTTCGTATACTTTACTCTAACTTTGGAGTTATTCGCCTTTTGCAACCATCGGAGTCAAAATACATTGCACTTGGTTTGCAAGAGACATCTTAGAGGCTCGGCCCCATCTATTGTCATGAAAAGTTCCCTCACATTTAACCCTATCACCTATATTCAGCGCTCCGATGCTCTTGATGGCTCCGAAACCAGTCGTTTCCTCTTACTCAATTTTGGAGCTATGCCCTTCATCAT